GAAGCTGCATTTTGGCACTGTTAAAGGGCGCTATAAACCTTGGGAAAAGAGACCCAAAAAAGAAAGGAACAAAGGAATAGAAAAAGGAAACGAAACAAATAAGGATAAGAAGAAGAGAGAAGAGACAGAGACTGGAATGTAACAAGGCAAACCGGAGAAACGATAGCACAGCAGGGAAACAAGAAGGGAGAAAAGGAGCGGCAGGAGGAAACGGAAAAAGGACATGGAAAGGAGGAACAACAAATAAAAAAGACAATGTAAAGGGTCAAAGGGAAGAGAAGACAGAAAAACATCTCAGATTCTAGTTGACAGGGCCCTGTCATGGGCACAAAATGGGGCCTTTCATACGTGAGTTACGTGATACACACTATACACTGGATCCTCTCCCCACTGCCCTTTTTCATCTCTCTCTTCCAGCTCCGTTTGGTCCTCTTTTTTGTTTATTTTTTTCTGCTGTTCTCTTTATTCCTGGCCTTGCCTTTCCAAGATTGCAAGGGCCCCATCACAATCACAAAACGAAGGCTTTCATGCGCAGTATACTATTCACACTATTCACGATTAGTTTTATCCTCTTCACGTTCATATCCTCTTCTTGCTCTTGTTTCTCATCCTGCTCGTAGAGTGTGTGGCTTAAGGTTGTTTGCCGCGTGCATGTTCAAACAATGACACGAAGCTTTGCTTCTTCAGCTTATTTTTTTTCGGTTCTGGTTCCCTGTTCTCTTGAACCCTCATTTTTGGTGACCTTTACAGTACTTTGTGGCATTCCAATGTGTTGGGGTGTTATAACTTGATGACTCTTGGGTTTGCGAACCCAGAGACGTTGTTGATGACCCTCTGCGGATCTTCGGCTGTCTCCGAAGATTAGTTTTCGTCACTCTTTTACATAAACCAATCAAAAACCTAGAAACACCCTAGATTAACCCTAAAGAAAGCATAAATGAACCCTAAAGAAACCCTAAAGAAATCCTACATAAATCCTGCAAAAACCATGTGAACATGTATATAGTGGAATACCTGTGGGGTGTAACGCATGTGCGGCGGGTAGTGTTTCTTCTTGTCCTCGGCCTCTTCTTCTTCCTTTGTTGTTCACATGTTCCATTTACGCATGTGTAAAGTGTAAAGCTATATTTTTTTACTGCCTAAACCGCGGAATTGAATCAGACAAAAACAGTGGCCATAACATTCCTAAACATGTGTGCTCCAGGAAACCCTCCTTTGGCTTCTAATCAATGTCCTTTCCCAAAGTGGAACAAAGACAATTTGGACTTGGCTTGCCAATAGTACCATCAAAGCAAGGGGAAAAATGCTGGAGGACAAGAATGCATAATAGAAATTGGAGAAGGCGACGCTAATAAAAGGAATAAATTTGAATGTATAGTAGGCTTTGCAAATTCAGGATGCTTTTGCAGTTTTGGCAAGTTGTGCTTATTTGTCAAATTTGGTCAATTTTGCCACATGTGGCAATTCTTGGCAAAATTTGTCATTTTTGCTTATTTGACTATGAGCTAATTTTGGTGCCTTTTGCAAATTTTGGCAATTGTTCGCCGTTTTGGCATTTTGGCACTTTTTACCATGTTTCGTAATACGATTAATTAAATTAATTAAATTAATTAAATTAATTAAGTTAATTAAATTAATTAAATTAATTACATTAATTAAATTAATCAAATTAATTAAATTAGTTAAATTAATTAAATTAATTAAATTAATTAGATTAATTAAACTAATTAATTTAATTAAATCAAAAGACAGAAAATCGGAGGAGAGCAAAGCAACAAAATAGTACCTGAAGGTCCCTCGATAATATATATATATATAATATTATATTATATCCCATTCCTCTTTGGTACTTTAACATAAAGAAAATGAACATTTTCCGTAGTTATGAACCGCGCAGGCGGTGCTGGAAACAGCGCAAGATCCAGGAGGCGACCAAAGGGGACCACTGTGAGGCCCGAACGAAACTACGAATGGCGAAGGACAGAACATATGTCATCATGATATAACTTTGATTGTTTTAATATGAAGTTATATATATAATGGCAACATCGGATTAATAACCCCCCCCCACCAGGTAGGTAGGTAGGTACCTTCTGGCTAGTTTTCTTGACTACCCCTTAATAATAAGAAACTCTGAACCATTAAAATTTGGATATGGCTTACGTCAATTAGATCTTAATTGAATTCTATTGGATTTGTTAAAATCTCATGGATCAGAAAGGTGGTTGATTAATCGGCCCACAAAGCAGTTCCCAACAGTGGTCGGTTTCTGCGGAGGCATCCCGCACTGGTGGGCCTGCCATGTCTTGCTGTCAAAGAAGACTCTCAAAAACTAAGGGACTTTGTATGTCAGCCAACAACTTCTATGGCTGGTGGTTTCCAAGAGAGATTTTTCATTTGCTTTCATTTTATCACATACTAGTATATATATATATTGTTTATTATTATTTATTATTATTTATTATTATTTATTATTATTTATTATTATTTATTATTATTTATTATTATTTATTATTAGTTATTATTATTTATTATTATACTATTATTTATTATTTATTATTATTATACTATTATTTATTATTTATTATTATTATATATTAGTGTGTATATATATATATATTGTATTTATATATATATATGTTATATACATACCCATTAATTTGCCAGGATATCAATGGTTAAATCATCATTTTGCGGCTTAATCACCATTCATTTCTGGTGTCTTTTTTTTTGGATCTCCCTTTCTAGCCAGACCACATCGTGGCAGGTTAGTCCCTGTGGCTGCGCTGTTGCAGCTGTGCTTGGCCAGTAGCTACCAGCATTGGATGGAGCCGTCCAGGAGCTATCAGCTCCTGGATCAGCTGGAGGCTTCCCTGCATGGTGCCCCCAGTGGCAGCTATGCGGAGGCGGTGAGTCCCTTGGATGCAGGGCTTGATGGGGTACTTCCGATGGTTCGGCTACCATTTCGTGGAAGCTGCGTCCTAATCTTTGGTTTAACGGTTAAACTACATTATTGCTTGAGCTCAGAATCTTCAGTTCATCCCATCTTTATTCGCCGAATCCGGGCGTTTTCTAGTGAACGTCCACGTTTTTCTATGGGTTGATGAACTTGCATGAAGAAAAACCGAACCAACTCAAGTTCCAATTTTTTGGCATCAAGTCCCTAATCATTTTTTGGAGGGGTCCTTCAATTTTCGAAACCGACCATTTTCCAACTTTTAAAACAAATGGCCCAAGGTCCCGCGCTGCACGCGCGCAGCACCCTGCTGCGCGCCGTGTTGGCTCTGCGGGAAGGGCGCCATGCGGCAGCCGAGGTGGCGGCTTGGGAAGCTCAGCACGCCTTACGGCGTAAAGGATGGGATTTCTGTTGGGGGATTCAACAAAGGATCAGGGGAATAAAAAGACATTTTTTTTTTTTTGGGGGGGGGGGCCCAATTTTGTACAAGAAATGTTGGGGTTGAATGATTCCAAGAAAAATTCTGAAAAATCAACCAGTGGTGCGCATTTTTTGGCACAAAATCCATTGGTTGATGGGGTATAGTGGGGATAAGATATGGATTCAACCAAGAATATCCTTGAGCACCTTGTCTCGTAAAAAGTTCATGCTGGAGCTTCTTCATGGGTTGATTTGCCAATCCAAGTCAGCGCAAGTTGTCGTGGAGTACTGTGGCACACAAAAGCTTCCAACGCAGACCCACAATTCTGGTAGATCTACAACCAAGTTTCTTAAAGGATTTAAAGGTCATGGGGCCATGGGGATTGAATGTACACAGAAGGAAGAGTTGACCAAATCGCCCTCGATTTGGGAGCCATCCACGAACGGGAAATCGTGGAACCGTTTCCGCAAGCACTGGCTCAGCAGATTTCTGGCAAAGCAGGGCTTGAAGTACCAACATACCCCCAGAAAGCCAAGGGGTGCAGGGCGGGAGATTTTAGAGGATTTTCAGTTATGATTTGGACGTTTTGGATCTCCAGAAGCCAGGCCGATAGGGGGATTGGAGCTGTGTTGCAGTGATCCTTTTGTTGGGACCATGAAGTTGCAATCACTGGTGCTGACGAACTGCCTTATTGGAGTCAATTTCAAAAGATTTGTGAGGAATACCATATCTACAATATGTCTACTATTGTATAGGCTTATGCATCTTCCACTACCTGATATAGATTGGGACTGAAGCACCCTAACTTTTTTGGGTTGACATGTTGGTGGTCAGCATGCTATGCCTATGTGGAAATGGGCCAAACTTTGGCACCCCAAAATGGAACGATTTATTCGACCCACAGCAAAGACCAAAATCTGCGTTCCCGGGGCTGTTGAATCATTTTCACTGCTGCTTGGCCCTGCCAAGCACAGCTTGGTTCATCAAAAGTACTGAGAGGAGTTTCTGAAGATCATGCTGTGCTGGATTAGGTTCTGAATTCACCCATCAGAATCGTACTATTTGATTGCTAAGTGATATTAAATTCATGTTTCGGGTATGTTGGGGTATCTTTGATAATCTTCGGTGCTTGTTTTTCTCCACTTGGCTTTGATGACTGCCGCTACTTGAAGCCTGGGCCACGGCAGCTTTTTCATCAAGGGTGGGCCTCCGCGGCAGCCCACCCCATGGAAGAACGTGACTATGACCAACTGTCAGTTGCGTTCTACTCAAGCGACTCAAGCATCGAATTCGTAACGCAAAATGAGCTTTCAACAAAGCATTCACATGCCGTCATGGACAACTTTGGGATGCCAGGAGAATCGCAGTCCTACTTGCCGCCAATCCCAAAACAGGAAACTCAAAACCCAACTGAGCCAACCAACCTTCTGATCCAAGCCCAGCAAAAACGTAGCAGTTGTTTTTTGTGCTTCAATCCCTGTTGCTGGCAGGGGAACTAGGTAACCCTCAATTTTTCCTGGTTCGACCTCAATTTTGAGTAGCTTTTGGGCTGATCGAATCCAGATATTGAGGTGTTAAACTCTCCACGTCTCTCATTTTCTTTTCCCACGACGGCATGGCGCCATGTGGTGGGACCAGTACGAGGATCCGGCAGAAGCTGCAGCCCAAGCTGCGAAGGAAGCCGAGGCCAGCGCGAAACACCGCAATTTCCTTGCGCAGCAGGTGGCCTTGGGTGAGAGTTGGGCTGGTGTGGCCCTCAAGCCATGACTCCATACCAAATTTTACTTTATTTGGGAGGTCAAGTGTTAAAACTTGGAAACGAGGCAAAATCGGGAGTTGTGAAAGATGGTGAGTTGGTTTGTTGTCTTAATTCGATGCAAATGGAAGGGTCAAGGTATTTTTTTTGGGTTATCAGCCACCACAATGCTTTTTTTCAGGCTTATAAAGCTACCACATGTTGCGGCGGTTGGTTCCTACTGGTTGCAACCGGCTCATTTTAAGCACATTCCAGTTGTATGTCACCATATAATGTAAGCAGATTAGCCCGATCCTTTCCTAGAGACTAGTGCTTGGCAGCGAGGAGACACAAAATTTGCATGCTAGGATTTTCATCCCCACAAGAGAGAGATTTGGATACATATCACACGCGCATGCGCAGATTGTAGTTTTTGTTGCATGCACATCCACAATTATCCATCTATGTGTTGTTGTGATGTACTGTTGGTCAAGCAATGTCATAAACCAGCCATATGGATCCATATGGTGAGGCAAGCCGCGCGACACCTCCGCTGACCCCGCCACCGGCACCGGTGGCAGCGGAACGGAGCGCGGCTGAGGCGAAGGCAGACTTCGTCTGCCGGTGCTTGGGACGGGGTCACCCCAGCGAAGACATGGACCACGTGGTGCCGTTTTGGGCAAAAAAGTGGCTTTAACAGAAATTCCACGTGGAAACACTGAGATGCTTACGAATCTTAGATGTCTTTTTCGTCCACCCTACTGTCACTTTCCTGAAGGTTGATGGGGTTACTAACCATACTGTAATGACTATATAACAATAGTTATTCAAAAAACAATAGCCATTCACAAGTAAAACTATAGTTTGCCACAAGGAACCATAAACAACGCATAATCATACACAACTTACATCATAAATGCCAATGTTCAACCATCGTGAACAAACCAACATGGACCATCTAAGCTGTAGCCACTGTCGGATCGACAGGGCGATCAGTCGATCGCGGAGCAGGTGCGATCTCGCCATCTCGTCCGACCCGAGCAGTCGACGTTTGGTTTTGGGCTACCCTCTGGTTATGTCAAAATAGCTATTGAACATGGCCATTTATGGTGGATTTACCCACTAAAAATGGTGATGTTCCACAATTATGTTAGTTGAATTTTTGCTTGCAACTCCCCAACATTGCATGCGTGAATCGTGAATCCGCTTCATGACTCCTTGCCTCAAACTTGAAGCCTACTTGAAGTCCTGGCCCAGGAGTGTTTGTGCAGATTAGTGGGCTGAACCTCCATGTGCATAAATGATCAAACTTTGAAGTTAAAATGAGTAACTGAGTAACTTTCAGTGGGAATGTTCAGGCTAGACATGTAACTATAATCAAATACGTGTATGTATATACGCATGTGATGTAAGTATGTATTCATATGATGTAACATACGTATTTCGCATTTGGTTTAATATGGTGTGTATATATATAAAAAATAGGATATCTTAGTATAGTACAACACACTCTTTTGATGAATGCCACATGTCGTAGTAGAAGAACGTAAGGTAAAATGTAATGCAATGTAATGCAATGTAATGTAATGTAATGTCATGACATACAATACTTAGACGGGCATGACAATAATTACCGACACATATTTGTGCACATACACATACACACACACATATATATATATATGTATAGAGAGAGAGAGAGAGAGTAGATATAGAGGTACAGAAGTAGTGGAGATCCCCGACCCCCTGTCGGTGGGGGTGGGGGGGTTGGGGACCCATTCCATTCGGAAGGGTGGCCTGGTGGAGGACGGGAATATATGGGAATCCAATGACATACATGTGGAAATTGGACATAATCCCTAAGGGAATCCATTGACATAAGCATGGTACGTCGAAACTACACATGAAACTTTGATAGTTTGACCCGACTCCTAGCCCTGACATTGATATGTTTTGATCATGTATAAAACCATCATGGAAGAGCCTAAACCGCTTGCTAATTAGGAGGCGTCTATTTCCCCATAAAAATCACTGGTCGTCATGGACCTGAATTTTCTAAGCATGTGAGGCTCTGGCTGCAGCCGCGCCAAAAGTGAAGGTGGGTGATCGTACACCCTGTTTGATGGTGGCTTAATCACTTTCACCCAATGATAGTAATCCATTCCCTCCGAAATTAAACACATCCCCGGAAATCAGAGATGTACTGTATGCACATTCGGGACCCATTTTGGAGGTGTTCAATAGTACGGGGATGGGATTAGTAATGATGAAACGAATCGCAATTGTTGTGGGAATCCCACTCATTTTTAAAACCCCAACTATGACCATAACCATTAACCCATATCAATGTCGTTGGCCAAATGGCAAAGCTGACTTGGAAAATGGGACTTATAGCTTAGGGTTTCCGGCACAAAATTTCCTTCCCTTTTCCGCTTTTGTAAGCATTGTAAGCCTCCAGAAGCTTTGAGTTGGCACTGGATCCTATTCATGCACAGTGAGTAGCACAGTGTTTCTGATTGGGGCATGAGTCATGAGATTATTCGCAAGAATCTGTTTGAATTTGCCGCAAATGAAGTCTAGAAAACAGCTGATTTGGAGGGTGCAAAATCTAGGCGGTGTGCCCTTGCCCTACCTTTGATGGTTACAGCCAAGAGACAAAGTCGTGCCTTTAAAAAAAAAAGATATATAAATATTACATTTAGTTGCGGCGAAACTTTCCCTGGAAGTCGTACCTTTTGCGAAACGCAGGGGAACTCTGGTGATCTCAGCGCGACCATGGTTTTTAGTGTTTTTGTGTTTTTTCCTTGCCTACAGGTTGGCTTTAGGTATCTACTTATGCTTAGTTCGTATGTAATGTTTGTTGCGTTCAGGTGGGGCAAACTGAGTTTGGTGTAGCTAGCATCAGCTGGATGTAATCTGATAATCTCAGTATCCTGAGGAGGGGAAGTATGCGAATGTTTTACACGCCCAGTCGAAAATAGAATGGGCTAGCGCCCAGGTGCCGCCGACCCCCCTCTATTTGGGGGGGACTGTGGGGAGAGAGAGAGAGAGAGAGAGAGAGAGAGAGGGAGAGAGGAGAGGGAGAGATGGATGGATGGATGGGGATGGATGGATGGATGGATGGATGGATGGATGGATGGACGGATGGACGGATGGACGGATGGATGGATGGATGGGATGGATAGATAGAGAGACAGACAGACAGACAGACAGACAGACAGGTAGACATGTGAATAGATGATAGATTGATGGATAGATAGAGGGATAGAGAGAGAGAGAGAGATAGATTGACAGATAGGTAGATAGACAGCTTGATAAACAGGTGGATAGATATTGTTGGACAGATGTATAGATAGAGGGACAGAGAGAGAGAGAGAGAGAGGGAGAGAGAGAGAAAGAGAGAGAGAGAGAGATAGATGACAGATAGGTAGATAGACAGTTGGATAAACAGATGGATAGATCGATTGTTGGATAGACAGATAGTGGCATAGGAAGAAAGACGGATGGATTGATATATACTTTGAGTGGCAAGGACCCTCCGTTTTTAGGACTGTCATTGTAACCTCATGTTTTTTTCTGCCTGCTGCTGGCTGCTGGTGCTGGCTGCGGCCTGCTGCTGCCTACTCCTGCTGCTGCAGAGGCTTTTGCTGCTGGTGCTGGCTGCTGCTTGCTGCTGCCTACTCCTGCTGCTGCAGAAGCTTTTGCTGCTGCTGCTGCTGGTACCCGGATGGGAAAACACCATGGCAGTGAAGGACGGAGAAACCCCAAAATTGCACCCCGTAAATGCCTAGCGAAAACGCATAGAAAATGATGATTTTGGTTACTTTTTCCTCTTGCTGCTGCTATGAATTTTGGCTACCTTTTCCTCCTGCTGCTGCAGAGGCTTTTGCTGCTGCTGCTGATCCCTGACCCGTTGTTGTATTTCTTGGTGTCCACAACCTCTCTTCCCTGACGCGCTCCCCCTTGCGGTCGACCGGGGTCGGCGGATATACATATACATGTTTTTTCCCAGCCGGCTTCATTGCACATGATTCCGGCGTAGTTTCCAGGATTCCTGAAATTTCCGGGCATAAATTTGGCAGAAAATTTGGCATCCGGCAGAAAAGAAATCCCGAAAGAGTTTCTAGGTAGAATAAGCCACGGGTGGATCAAAGACTGGCTGAGGGCACCGAATTTTGCTTCAAGTCATCACCTTTTTTTCAATCTGTTGGTCTAAGCATTGCTGAAGCACTGCGATGGTTGAAAGCTCATAGAAAGTCATTGCTGTGGCCCTGGCCCTGGGGTGCCTGTTGGGGAAGCTGCTTAAGGGTAAAGGTTTGGAGGGTTTGGAAGAGGACAAGGTCCACACCTGCGGTGGATCTGAGGTGCCTGCTGGGGACGGTGTTTGGAGGGTTTGGCGGGTTTTGGAGGGTTTGGAGGGTTTGGAGAGTTTTGGAGGGTTTGCGGGCTGGCAAACGGCAGCTTTGAAAGCCTAAGAAAGCCATTGCTGTGGCCTGGCCCTGGGGTGCCTGTTGGGGAAGTGGCCTTGGCCCTGGGGTGCCTGTTGGGGAAGGTGTTTGGAATTTTGTTTTGGAAAGTTTGGAGCCTTTGCGGGCTAGCAAACGGCAGCTTTGAAATTCATAAAAAGTCTCATTGCTGTGGCCCTGGCCCTGGGGGTTTGGAATTTTGGAGGCGTTTGGAGCCTTTGCGGGCTGGCAAACGGCAGCTTTGAAAGCTCATAGAAAGTCATTGCTGTGGCCCTGGCCCTGGGGTGCCTGTTGGGGAAGCTGCTTAAGGGTAAAGGTTTGGAGGGTTTGGAAGAGGACAAGGTCCACACCTGCGGTGGATCTGAGGTGCCTGCTGGGGACCGTGTTTGGAGGGTTTGGCGGGTTTTGGAGGGTTTGGAGGGTTTGGAGGGTTTGGAGAGTTTTGGAGGGTTTGCGGGCTGGCAAACGGCAGCTTTGAAAGCCTAAGAAAGCCATTGCTGTGGCCTGGCCCTGGGGTGCCTGTTGGGGAAGTGGCCTTGGCCCTGGCCGTGGGGTGCCTGTTGGGGAAGTGGCCTTGGCCCTGGGGTGCCTGTTGGGGAAGGTGTTTGGAATTTTGTTTTGGAAAGTTTGGAGCCTTTGCGGGCTAGCAAACGGCAGCTTTGAAATTCATAAAAAGTCTCATTGCTGTGGCCCTGGCCCTGGGGGTTTGGAATTTTGGAGGCGTTTGGAGCCGTTGCGGGCTGGCAAACGGCAGCTTTGAAAGCTCATAGAAAGTCATTGCTGTGGCCCTGGCCCTGGGGTGCCTGTTGGGGAAGCTGCTTAAGGGTAAAGGTTTGGAGGGTTTGGAAGAGGACAAGGTCCACACCTGCGTGAGGTGCCTGCTGGGGACGGTGTTTGGAGGGTTTGGCGGGTTTTGGAGGGTTTGGAGGGTTTGGAGGGTTTGGAGAGTTTTGGAGGGTTTGCGGGCTGGCAAACGGCAGCTTTGAAAGCCTAAGAAAGCCATTGCTGTGGCCTGGCCCTGGGGTGCCTGTTGGGGAAGTGGCCTTGGCCTTGGGGTGCCTGTTGGGGAAGGTGTTTGGAATTTTGTTTTGGAAAGTTTGGAGCCTTTGCGGGCTAGCAAACGGCAGCTTTGAAATTCATAAAAAGTCTCATTGCTGTGGCCCTGGCCCTGGGGGTTTGGAATTTTGGAGGCGTTTGGAGCCTTTGCGGGCTGGCAAATGGCAGCTTTGAAAGCTCATAGAAAGTCATTGCTGTGGCCCTGGCCCTGGGGTGCCTGTTGGGGAAGCTGCTTAAGGGTAAAGGTTTGGAGGGTTTGGAAGAGGACAAGGTCCACACCTGCGGTGGATCTGAGGTGCCTGCTGGGGACCGTGTTTGGAGGGTTTGGCGGGTTTTGGAGGGTTTGGAGGGTTTGGAGGGTTTGGAGAGTTTTGGAGGGTTTGCGGGCTGGCAAACGGCAGCTTTGAAAGCCTAAGAAAGGCATTGCTGTGGCCTGGCCCTGGGGTGCCTGTTGGGGAAGTGGCCTTGGCCCTGGCCGTGGGGTGCCTGTTGGGGAAGTGGCCTTGGCCCTGGGGTGCCTGTTGGGGAAGGTGTTTGGAATTTTGTTTTGGAAAGTTTGGAGCCTTTGCGGGCTGGCAAACGGGAGCTTTGAAAGCCCATAAAAAGTCTCATTGCTGTGGCCCTGGCCCTGGGGGTTTGGAATTTTGGAGGGGATTGGAGCCTTTGCGGGCTGGCAAACGGCAGCTTTGAAAGCCCATAGAAAGCCATTGCTGTGGCCTGGCCCTGGGGTGCCTGTTGGGGAAGTTGCCTTGGCCCTAGGGTGCATGTTGGGGAAGGTGTTTGGAATTTTGGAAGTCATTGCTGTGGATCTGAGGTGCCTGCTGGGGACGGTGTTTGGAGGGTTTGGCGGGTTTAGGAGGGTTTGGAGCGTTTGGAGGGTTTGGAGAGTTTTGGAGAGTTTTGGAGGGTTTGCGGGCTGGCAAACGGCAGCTTTGAAAGCCTAAGAAAGCCATTGCTGTGGCCTGGCCCTGGGGTGCCTGTTGGGGAAGTTGCCTTGGCCCTAGGGTGCATGTTGGGGAAGGTGTTTGGAATTTTGGAAGTTTAGAGCCTTTGCGGGCTAGCAAACGGCAGCTTTGAAATTCATAAAAAGTCTCATTGCTGTGGCCCTGGCCCTGGGGGTTTGGAATTTTGGAGGCGTTTGGAGCCTTTGCGGGCTGGCAAACGGCAGCTTTGAAAGCTCATAGAAAGCCATTGCTGTGGCCTGGCCCTGGGGTGCCTGTTGGGGAAGTGGCCTTGGCCCTAGGGTGCATGTTGGGGAAGGTGTTTGGAATTTTGGAAGTTTGGATCCTTTGCAGGCTGGCACACTGCAGCTTTGAGGCCCATAGAAAGTCATTGCTGTGGCCCTGGCCCCCTGTTAAGGCAGCTTTGAAAGCATCAAGAAAGTCATTGCTGTGGATCTGAGGTGCCTGCTGGGGACGGTGTTTGGAGGGTTTGGCGGGTTTAGGAGGGTTTGGAGCGTTTGGAGGGTTTGGAGGGTTTGGAGAGTTTTGGAGGGTTT